ATTATCATTAAAAGATGCTCTAAAAAGAGAAAATCCTTGTTCTCATCATCATGTCTCTGCATGCGATTATGATGTGTTCTCAACTTTCCCTGCTTCGGTTCACTTTACGCGTGGCCCAACAGAGTGGAATGATCTGCACACACCTCACACACGACGAAGGGCGACATCAATCCAGTCTTAATGGCAAATTAATTAGGCCAGGCATAATTTTGCATGTTCAATGAGCAGGCCTGTTTGAATACATGTGGTTTGCTTTTGTGTGGTCCTCTTTGGTTTTTACAATTAGCCAGGTAATTGTCTGTGCCTCAGGTAGGTCCTGATGGGGGTCATAACTATTGATATTCAATTAGCTGCATCTATTGATTGATTTGTTTTCTGCAGTTGAATGTGTCTGACTGCACAAAACAGTCTTCCAACTTATGAGGGAGCTATTAGAATTGTTGTCATTAGGACATGTCACCATGTTTCACTAACGTTATATGGATTAGCTTCTGCTCTGATGTTGTGCTGGTAAGCTTCACAGATCACATCAGGTTACCAGCGAATAAAATACAATGAATCCATTCAGATAATACAATTTCCCGAGATACGAGGGCAATCCCAAACGTAAGGTCTCCTATTGTTTTCGAAATACAACGTTTATTTTTCAGAATATTTTCATCATTTTAAAGCTTGAAGACTTTTTCTCTACATAATCGTCATTTCGGTCGATACATTTTTGTAGACGCTGTGGCAGTTTTACAATACCCATGTCATATGGAAGTTTTAGGAGAATGCTAGCGCCCTTGCTCAGCAGTCCTCTACTCCGGTTCTGAAATGCGCTTCTGAGTTGAGAGTTTGTTCCTCAAACACAGTTGCGCACCGGCGCACTGTGCGTGCAAGCATTCCCCACAACACCGCGCGTCCACACGTCGTCCGTCAAACTGTCGCTCTCCTGCAAAACTTTGGAACTTCATCACCCACCCACCCTACAGTTCGGACTTCGCGCCCAGTGATTAGCACCTGTCCCCAAAGGTGAAAGAACATTTGTTCGGAAGGCGATTCTGCGGCGGCGGCGGGCAGGTATGACATGGGTATTGTAAAACTGCCTACAAAAATTTCTGCAAAAATGCATCGACCGAAATGGCGATTATGTAGACAAATAAGTCTTCAAACTTTAAAATGATGTAAAAAAAAAAAAATAGAAGACCTTACTTTTGGGATTGGCCTCGTACTTAGACACATACATCAAACTGCTCGAGCACCGTGCCTGAAACAGCCCCTCACTTTATTCCGAGAATAGCTGTTTTAGCTCTTTCTGTTATCCGGGACCTTCAAGGATAAAACTCCTCTTCAGGACCCAAGTTTGTTTGATCAATGTGATATATCCAAACTGTTACATAACACTCCAATGCTATTTCTCCATGTCATAGCCCAAGCTACAGTCACGGTCAAAACCAAGTACACCCTCTATAAATTCTAAGGTTTTACATATTAGGACATAATAAATTATCTAGTTGTTACCATGTTTTAAAATTCCTGCCAAAGTCATGATACATGCTCGATGATTGGATAAGGAAATTAAGCTACATTTAAATTAACTTAATTAGCGTTCTGGGATCCTGCCACAGTATTTTAGTCAGGCTGAGGTCTGGACTTTGACTGGGCCATTGCAGCACTTTAATTCCTTTCTCCTCCAGCCATTCTGTTGTAGATTTGCTGCTGTGTTTAGGTCATTGTCATGCTGCATGTCAATTTTGGCCAAGCTTTAGTTTTTGGACAGATGGCCTCCCATTTGACTCTATACTTTGCCTGTAATGCACAGTACCACATTTGGCTGAAGCCAAAAATCAAAAGCAAACATCTCCATGTTGGTCTTCTCTGTCAGGAGGACATTGTTCCAGATGCTTTGTGCTTTGTTTTATTGTTGTTTGCATCTTTACTAAGCTAAGCTGTGGTACCATATTCATTTTAGACAGAAGAATCTTTTCTCCCGGAAATGTTTCCCAAGAATCCACATTTGTTCAGTCTTTGTCTAACTATACTGTCGTCAACATTTTACATGCTAAATGAGGCTTGAGATGGAGATCTTGGGTTTTTTTGGGGGCAATTTCTCTGAGCTTTTATTCTGACCCTCTGTGTGTCCACTCCTGGAAAGATTGGTGGCTGTTTTGAATGTTTCTATTTGTGAATAATTTTCTCACTGGAGAATAATGGATTTATAATCCTTACCAAATTGATGAATAGCAATATTTTATTCTCCAGAATCATGATGTCTTTTCTCCTTGGCATTGTGCTAACACACATCTGAATGCTGCAGACCAGCATAGTTCTGCTTTTAGAGAGGTGCTCATACTTGCTGATGACCATTTAGTCAACTGCATTTTATTATTAACACCTGGCTGCTAGCATACCCCCTCACTGCTCCAATGGAAGCAGTGAGGGGGTATGCTAGGGTTTTCACACAGTCCTGCATTTTGGCTTAATTTTTGTTAAATAAATAATGACACAGTGTCATAGTGTACTTTTTCTTGTTTTTGCCATGGCTTTACATTCATCAGTGGCATTGACATGAAGGTAATATTTAGATTATACCAAGACAAAACTATTTCAGTGACAAATGAGCAACTTAAGGCAGACCCATTATGCTAATTTCTAGCTCCAGAACTTTTTTTCCCCTTAGACGTCCCTCAGGTGGAAAAAGAAATCAGTATTCTAGACTTTTGTGGGAAAACAATAATAGTTCTAAGCCACGTCTGGATTATTTTCTGCTTTGACATGCAGCTGGTAAGCTTCACAGATGGAACATGAAGGAAATTCTGTGCCAGTTGTTGCAGCAAGAGGTGCCAGCACCGTCTCTTAGGTAACTAAAATGCAAATAACCAGCATAAATCTGCAATTTGCCCAGATATCTGGACACACACAATTCATTGAGTAGTTTTAGGAACCCCACCTGCCACATTTGTATCTTTTCAACCCACCCCTTTAAGGCAACCCTTGTTTTAAGCTGACTTTTTTCTTATTGGCTGCCACTCGCAAACCTGAGATTTGAACAGCAGGTGGGCGGGGCCTCTGATTATAGCCAGGGCCAGGTTGCTTAAGATCATCATCTGCTCTCATTGTGAGCTTACAGGCCTCACTGCCTTTGTTATTTGAACCTTGGGTCATTTTAAAATGAGCACCCACTATTCAAACATTGTAGAAAATTAGGGAAGAAAATGTGTGCTGAGGATTGAGGCGATGC